TTTGGCATTGTTACAAGATTTGATCTGGCTTCATTCGAGCAAGGTAATATGTGGGGTGGAACGACAACTTCAAACGCAACAGAACTCCCCAATGCAATTGAGGCATTGGTCAACCTCAATATTAATCATGCTTCTGATCTATTTGCTGCAATTTTTCTGGTATATGTCTATGTACCTTCGATAGAATCACCACTTGTCAGTTTTACGTTGGACTATGGGAAACCAGTCATCAATCCTCCTATTTTCAAGAATTTCACCGAGATACCCGCTATATCTGCTGACTTGAGAATTGCGACCCTTACGTCGTTGATTAATGCAACAGAAGAATCTCAACCTTCCGGACTTAGGGAATCATATTGGACATTGACCATATTGAATGATGCCGATTTAATAATGGAAATTTCTAAGATATTCGATCAAGAACTTCAAAACATCAGGAATGCTACAAATCTATTGCCTGCACTGGTCTTCCAACCAATCTCCGAACCAATGATCTCACACTTTAGCAAAAATGGCGGGAATTCTCTTGGTATAACCACAAAAGATGGACCTCTGATCCGTAAGTAACTAATTCGGAAGTTTCCGTTCGACACCATATCTAATCTCACCGTCGTATGACAACCTCTAGTAATCAATATTGCAATTCAATGGACCGATATCATAGATGACACACGCATCATAGCGTTTGCAGAGAATTGCGTTGCACGATCCACTACTCTGGCAAAAGAGCGAAATCTTTGGCATAGATTCTTGTACCAAAACTATGCTGCGCTTCAGCAGGATGTATTTCTGAGCTACGGGAAAGAGAATCATGAGAGATTGGTCGAGATCTCAAAGAAATATGACCCAGATGGTGTATTCGTACGGCTGCAACCGGGATACTTCAAAGTTTATTGAAATACTTCCAAGGCCTGCGGGTGGCAGTTCATACCAACTCTCGTTAAATGACATTAAATGTGGTTGCTCCCGTTACTTTTTGAGTGACACGTTCTATGGTTCTCATGTATTTTTCACGTGTTAGTTCTTGCTATTACTTTCTCTGATTTCTTGTTGATTGCAAGGTCACAGGTGGATTTCAGTAGAGTTGCAGGCTCAAGACAGGGTAACAGCTGATGGGAAGAGGGGCTCTATACAATGTTGAAAATTTCACAAAATGTTCCAGAGACTTGGCTAAGCATTCAAAAGATTCAATCTGCGAGCCGTCGCTCAGCTACGTACTCGAACGATTTCATATTCTAACAACAACGTGCTCCGCACCGAGATTATTCCTCTCTCGGTGGTTTCATTAAACACCGCTCCAAGTGGGGAAACTACGATATCGGGGAAATATGTTCCAATAATGCTCCATTCTCGGGCTAAGACTTCTTATCAGATATAGATCCTTGTTGTTTGAATGATTCCGAACCATCTGATAAAAATTCTGATGTGCCAAGCAGACATTGCGGGAACTTTTCCCAACTTTGCAATTTTCTCAACGATAACTTGTATTAGATCATCAACATTTAGTGGGCCGAAGTCGTATTCACGTTGGTCATAGAAAATCAAGAACAAATGCATTGAAACTCTATAAAGAAGATCAGATAAACTCCTACAAGAGGAAGTTTCTCGACTTTATATTGACCCACTTCACGAACTACTCGTTCCCTATCTTTTCAGCCTTACCTCGAAGTTCGAGGATTAACTTCGGCTATGTCAACTAATCAGATAGTTGAGACTGTCCATTCGACATCGGGTACGCCAGCAATGGAACATGATACCAAGGAGAAAAATGAAGCCTTTGTATCAGCGGTATCTTCAAGCGATAATGAGGAACTCAGATCGGATATCGCCAATAATGATGGACAATCTAGTGGGAATGATATACCTTGGCAATGGAAGCTTGCTTCAGTCATCCTAGTGTCAATGATTGGTTTTGGTTCTCACTGGAGTTCTGGAATCACAGGTGCAATGAAATCAACAATCAAGAAGGAGATGAAGATTGATAATAAGCAATATGCTTTATTGAGTGCTAGTCAAGACTTTATGGTAACAGCTTTAATGATGGTTAGTGGTCTTGTTACGGATAGAATAGGAGGAGCAGGTAAGAATATCATATCTTTCGTTTATCTTCATTTACTCACTATCTCTAGGCGCAATCTTTTATGGCAACATCATCTTCACAATTGGATCTATTCTCATTGCTGGAGCTGCTCAGACTAGAAACTATCAATTCATGATTGGTGGTACAATTGTTCAAGCTTTTGGAGATATTGCTACTCAAGTTGCACAATACAAAGTTTTCTCTTCATGGTTCGCTCCTAATCATGGATTCGCTTCGACTCTTGCGCTTGAGTTGGGAATCGGCAAAATTGGTGCATTTGTTGGTAAATCATCCGCAAACATCATCTCAAAAAACACAGGAAACTTCGCAAATGTTTATTGGGTTTCAGTAGCCATGAACATTTTCTGTAATTTGATGAGTCTTGGCTTTTACATCTTTACTCGCTTCGCCAATAAGAAGTTTCCTTCAACATCTGATCCAGCTACTGGTGAGGAACTTACAGAAGGCAACAAGAGATTTGAATTACGCAAAGTTCTCGAACTACCTTGGACATTCTGGGTCATTTTGGCATTTTCATTGTTTGAAACTGCGACTGCTGGTCTCTTTACTAGTAATGCTACAGAAATGGCTGAGCAAAGATTGGGTGTATCATCTGTACAAGCCGGGTGGTATACGTCGGCTATTCAATATGGTGGTAAGTATCCTGCAACACTGAAAAACTTGGTAACACGATACTGATTATGTTAGGATTCTTCTTCGTTCCTCTAATTGGAATATTCGTTGATGTATGGGGAAATAGAGTTACTCTCTGTAAATTAACATAGTTTCTTCTTTGGTAAATCTTTTGCTAACATATTTCAGTTGCCGTCACCGGTTTTGCTTGTTTAATATCAATGTCCATTGTAAACTGGGCTCCTTCAATCAAGGGTACAGATGCTGCATTTGGCATTTACGCTTTTGCATACTGTTTCGGTCCAACTTTGATCATCGATAGTATCCGAACATCAATGTGGCATCAAGGAGTTTTTGGATCCGCATACGCTCTCAAAGTCACCATGAACAACGCGTGAGTTCCCCCTCTCTCCAACCACCCACCTACCCTTCACTAACAAAAAAGCCAGCATGAGTATTATCGTCGGTATCGTCGCTGGCGTAATTCAAGACGCAGATAACAATTCCTACGACAAAGTCACGATTCTCTATGTTGCTCTCTCCGCCGCATCAGCATTCATGGCACTCATCATGATTGGACTCGCATACTATTGCATCGATTTCCGCATGTTGCAATGGACGCGCAAGCAGAGAATCGCTAATGGTGAATTGATCAATGAGCGAAAGGAGAAATTCCATAATGAGAATGGACCGAGAAATCGGAAGATTTCAAAATTTTGTATTGGGGCTTTGGTGCTGTTGGTGCTGGGTTCGTGGTGTGCATATTTCTGGGGTGTGGCGACGGGAAATAATAAGGGGTAATGATTTGGGGTATGGGTATGGGATTGGGTATGGGATTGGGTATGGGAATGGGAATGGGTTGTGGTGGAGAGAATTCAAAGGGTTGATTTGAATTTTGATGTTGTATATAATGAGTTTGAAACTTTGAATGATTTTACGTTGTTTTGCATGACATTTTGATGATTGGTATGGAGAGCGGACAACCAAACTTGGGCTTGTGATGATTATTCTGACCTTATATGCTGTGTCGCATTTCTAGTTGGGCATGGGAATAATAGGCGAAAGTTCGCCTCGCATCATCTAGAGCATGGTCCTCGTTGGGAGATATCGTCCAATGATTTTAGAGGGATTGTTGTAATTCCTAGCACGGAATCATATGGCTGATATTGAGACAATCTAAAGACGCTCTTGGTTTAGTGCTCTACAGAACTTGTATGCTGAGATGTAAGTTACATCTGAATAAAGAATATGGTACTTGGAAAGGTTAGTAAAATTCTTTGTAGTAGGGGAAGGGAAAACTTGAATGATTTGAAATTTTTAGACTTGGTCGTGGAAATCGCGGAGAATAAATTGAATCTTTATTGGGTGTTTTTCCTGTTGTTCTTGGTTTTTATCACAGAATGCTGCAGTGTTTTGTTGGTGTTTCTCCACTCTCCGTCTCTATTAATCTCTCAATATACCAGTAACGTTGAGCTAACGCTCGTAATAGTAGACCCTCTCATCTCCTAAATCCAATTGAGATACTTAAAGTTAGATTACTGGTGTGATTTCTGTGACTTGAATCTCAGATTTGAAGTTGGTCGTGCGTGCTGGGGGTGGGGGATAAAGTGTTTGAGAGAGATGTTGCTGAATCGAGGCCATTCGATTGGTATACCGCATACGGCGTATGGTGATAGCTTCGATTCTTTTCTTCCTATTCTTTGGACTGAAATTATGAGCCTTTGACATTAAGTTGTCCTACCGAGGTGAAATTTTCACTGATTGTTCCAATTGATATAAGGATTTCATAGGAAGTTTCGATACGTATCATCGCCAACTGTTGGATTCTTCATTTTAGCGTCTGACAATCATAGGTCTCACCCAGATGATTGTTAAGTCGGGTACCCTACTTTCAGGCCACCCCCCTTTTGGGCCACTTTTTACACCAAAAATGGAATTTTTAACTTTCTTATTTATGAATAGAATTTATTGAAAATTTATATATATATAATTTAGATCATTTTTAGTTTACCTTGAAAATTTCAGATTTTTAGGAATTTTCTGTATTGAGATCTAGAGCTTCAAAATATCGATTTTTAAATTTGTATGGGAATCACATGCAAATTTCATTTTTATTATTATTTTTAAAAATATTTCCTTCTAAAAATAACAATTGATTATTAAAATAAGAATATTAAAAATAATCAATTTTAGTATATTTTCAAGTAATTCCTTTAATGATATAATCCATTTGTATATGAACTACGTTATATTATCTCTCAAGTTCAATCTTCTCTAAATAATCATCATGTGTACATGGCTAACAAATTCTACAGCTCTGCCTCACTGCAATATATCGTGTTACTTTCCATCCATTTGCAAAGTACCCGGCCCAAAATGGGCAAAGATCACAGATTTGTATTCTGCCTATCATAGTTTGAGAGGAACTCTTCATATTAGAACATTACAAGCTCATGATAAATATGGTAAGAAAAGTAGCCGAGTTAATCTTAGCAGCTGCTGAAACAGACTCCAGGAAGTGTAATTCGCCTGGGCCCTAACGAGTTGGGTTTTAATTCGGCTGAAGCGCTTAAAGGTATTTCCCATTTGAATCATAAATGATCCTTTCTAATTGACATGATGATCAGAGATTTATTCATCAAAAATGTTCAAAAATCAAAAGGATATGCTGCTCTAGTCACCACACCAGGTGTCCATAATGTTCACAATGCAGTGGATTTCTCAATTCATAAACACAAAAGAAGCGTCGTTTCCAAAGGCTTTTCTATTCCATCTTTGCTAGCTTTCGAGCCAACCATGATTAGTACTATTAATCTATTGATACAAAATCTAGTTAAGACATCTATCAAAAGTGAAAGTCAGAACAATTGGTTGACACCTATCAATATGGGTACTAGCTTCAAACATATGTCTTTTGACGTTATGGGAGAATTTGGGTTCGGACAATCATTCAATCTACAAACCTCTTCTGAGAACCATTTTCTTTTTGGAATTATTCCGGGAATATTAACCAGAGGGGGTATTTTACTCCAATGTCAAGCTTTCCAAAAAATAGGAATCGAAAGAATTTTTTACCGGAAAGTTCATACGGCGGTTAGAAAATATCACTCGACAGTGAGTAAATTAGTGGCAGATAGGCTGAAGGAAGACAAAAATGCAAAGAGTGATTTATTTTCTTTCATTTTCGATGCGCAGTATTCGAATAATGGGAAACATGAAGATATTAAAACAATGATGATTTCGGAATTATTTACTGACAGTGGATTTTTGCTTGCTGCTAGTAGGTTTCTTTTAACCATTTCCAAATAGCTAGAGAATTTTCGCTTATTCAGAAAATAGGTTCTGATACATCCTCGACAACTCTCTCCGCTCTTCTCTTCTACCTCTCTCGATATCCAAAATGTTACGAAAAAGTCACCACAGAAATCCGATCTTCTTTCTCATCTCTCTCCGAAATTCACAGCGGCCCTAAGATTACCTCTTTTAAACACCTACGCGCCTGTATCGAAGAAGCTCTCCGTATGAGTCCATCACTCGGCTCTGACTCTAGAGAGAAGTTCGTCCTAGGGGCATCACAATCGATGGTGATTTTATCCCCGTAGGCTACGATATCGGATGTGTAGTCTATGCTGTATAGCATAATGAATCCTGTTTCTCCCATTCCTTTAAATTTCAACCTGACCGCTGGGTAGTATCGGATAATAATCTATAGGAAAAAATTGAGGAGATGAAAATGGTATTTGCACCGTTTAGTTTGGGATTGAGAGGATGTCCGGGAAAATTGATGGCGTATATGGAGATGGGGATTATGATGGCGAAGATGCTGTTTTGTTTTTATTTTAGGAGGCCAGGGAATGGGCTGGGAGAGGTGGAAGAGGGAGTGTTGGGTGATGAGGGGGGTAGGGGAAGGATAAATGAGTTTCAATTGATGGAACATTTGGCTAGTACGCATGTGGGTCCGTATGCGGAGTTTAGATTGAGGAATGGACTGAAGGCGGAGTTTGAGGGCTTTTAGTTGAGGATTGTGGTTTGGGGTAGGTGTGAAGGGTGGAGGAGAGGATAGATGGGGTATTATGTGGTTATTCTGAAAGTAGCAGGATCAATACATCTTGTTAAAGCTGTCTGCTTTGAATGTTAGCTTAATACTTTATAGATTTACACAAGCAAAGTTTTCGCTATCATCTGGACTATTTTACGTCTTGTAGTATCATCGCAACTCCAACCATTCACAAATCTTTTGAAATTTGTTTGTGAATGTTCAATTACGCTATCTTTAGGAGTCAAACATCTGGTCTTTTGATAGAACGGTAGTTGTGAAAACTTGTAGAAATTCTGGAAACTCATTTTTTATCCATTCAGGTTTTACTGAAATCTTTTCCACAAGCTTGAAGATATGAATCACATTTTTCTTCCTACTTTCTACTAATTCTTCACATCTATAAAATTACAATTTAATCTCCCCATAAAATTAGTATCTTTGTGAGCAAACTACACCTCAATTCTTATATACTAAGCCTCCCCATCGAAGCAATACTCAATCTGCAACAGCCAAGCAAATAAGCCATCACCATCCCCATAGATATGTCCATCCCAACCCCACCACCCTTCACCCCTCGATCCTCATCCCTATCCCCACCTCAATTTCGATCTCTCTCAACATCTCATCTTCACATCCAGACTCACCGCAAAAATGCATATATCTCCTTACCACACACTCCTGTTCCCACTTCGTACAACCATTTACTCACCCGACGAATATTATTCATACCGAGAATTTTGTTGCGAGATTCGGAGGCTGTTGTTCGAGTCAGGGGTATCGGTATGAGATTTCGGGGAATGGGGAGAGAGATGTGAGGTTTGTGTACGGGGGAAGTTGATGAAGGGGGAGAAGGAGTCGAGTGGGGAGATTCGGTTAAGAGATGAAAGGGGGGATGGTTTGGAGAGGAAGAGGGAGGGGAAGAAGAGGGATGAGGATATGTCAGGGTTGGAACAGAAAGCGAATGCGGATGAGGAAACGACTGATCATCCGAGCAACAAAATGGAACACGATAAAAATTCGGAAATATCATCAACCCCTTCCTCTTCATTAAAGAAACCCCGAAGTTCCCCAAATTTTTACACGCATTGCAGAGCAGGGAGCAATAATGGAAAAGGAAAACAAATGATGACATATGATCATCAACGAGCTATGCCAAAATGTAGAAGACCGATGATTACAGGGAGAAAACGGGTTTCTGTTATTATTGAAGAGGGAGGGGAATGTTATGGGGGTGGATGTGGAGTTTTCGATTCGGGTTGGAGATGTGGGAGGGAGAGGGGAAGAAAAGTTTGGGAGGAGTTGTGGGGAAGGTTGAGAGGGTTGTAGATGAAGGATTGAGGGGGTAAGGGGGGAGGTGGTATTGGGGGTTAATGAGTATTTTTAAGGGGACCTATGATTCTTCGAAGTGATTTCAGGGATAAATCGCTTGGATCGGATGGAAGGATGAGATTGCATATTCTAGATATTCTTGTTAGGTTTCAAATTTATCGCTATTCGGTATATGATAATCCACAACTTCTTTTTCTAAGTGCGATATATAGATACACGCGAAGGTACGAATGTATATACCGACGTTTCTTTTTCTGCTTCGCTATAGCACCCAAGTGATGTATCAGCTCCTGTGCCTCACCTCGGCTATCTCTAATATGGTAAATCCACTTATGGGTGTGTGGCTGTGAACAGATAAAGACAGAGATCAACAAAAGACTGATCAAAGATGAAATGAGTGTATAATGTGAGAATTACTGAGGGACTGTTTGCAATGTGTATAATGTGCCATGATCTCAGGGCGCAAGTTTGTCGCTCCCAGTGCTGATGAACACCCTACAGATGGTTGATCTTAGCGAGCACATTTACTAGGCACAATATTTATCTGCCTGTAGATGACTTCGATTAAATGCAGTGGTTCTTGTCAAATAAGACCTTGTTCTTGATTGCATGTATTCAGCATATCAAACCAGACCTCTAGTAGCTAATGACACATTCGTCCGTGGTCACTATACTGACCGTACGTAAAGGATGCCCCTTTTGTGAAAATCGGTTCTCAGAGTAATACGAATGGACCTCACAATATCTATACGGCTATAAATACGTTCAAACCCTAGAAACACACCGTACCTATGATTCAGTATCCTCCCCCATTGTCTAGTCATCTCCAGCTACGGCTTCTCAATGATCGTTATCTACATATAAAGATTGATCGAGCTCAGCCTTTTCACAATAACATTACAAGTAAATCTTACATCATACATTCAGATCTTCTCTACATATACTCGATATCGAAGTCACACAAGTCTCTCACACATGATCTCCAAGACTTGAGTTCCATTTTCACATCGAGTTCTGTTGTTGAATTCAACACAGTACTAAAATAGTAATGATGTCGTCATTAACGGCCAAATTCACATTTCCAGAAACCCTTGGTGGTCAACATAGAATCAGCTCGACAAGACCGTCTAGTTCCAAACAGACGCAGAACACAGAGCAATGCATATATGTCGTTCAAGGTGAGTTCCGCCCTTCCCCCCTTTCCCCTTACCATCCCAAACTAACAAACCCTCAGAATACAACTGTCCGCATCACCCCTCCCTAAACACCCCACACATCTACCACCGTACTCCCTGTCCCCAAGCCCTCCTCCCCCTCGCCTCTCAAACCGACTGCAACTCCCCTCCTCGCAAAGACGAAGACGAACTCGTTGAAGTATCTCGCTATGTTCGGGATCGCGGCTGCATGGAATGTAAAACTCTCGCATGCGCACGTCGTCATGAGGAAGCAGCCAAACATCCTGAGATTCTTAGGAGAATGCAGGAGATGGGACTTGGGCAGGAGAGTATTGATCATTTTGAGAAGGTAACGAGTAGATTTCCGGCGAGTAGGAGAGTTCTGGAGGTGGTGAGGGAGAGGTTGAGGAGGGAGAGGGTTAGTGAGAGTTTGGGTGGAGAGAAGAGAGAGGATGACACACAGGACCAAGTTGAAGCAAAGCAGGAATCTCAGCTCCAATCCAAGATAGATAACGTCAAAGTTATCCCTTCTGCAACTCTTGCCTCCTCAGTTGAAGGCCCCATTGTCGAAGAGACCGACAGTGCAGAAAAGGAGTACGAAACCACAAATCCTCAAGCTATGACTACAAAGGTCGAGGAACCACAACGCACAAAAATCCTCTCGAACAAGAAGACTCCTCAACCTTCAGCTAAGTCCACCGAGGTTGGAAGTCCTAGACCCATCGTTACACCCAAAGTGGTCCGAGGAGACGAACTCGCTGAAGGCCAAACAGATAAAGAAAAAACCGCTCAACCATCCACTAAGCCTTCCAAGCTCAAGCATCCCAGCCCTGGTATCACGCCAGAGGAAGGACTCCAAATGAACAAAGTCGCGCAGTTACAACCCCAAGATCCAAGCCCAGCAGATGAAGAGAATACCTCTCAACCTTCGACTAAGTTCACCGAACTTGGACATCCCAAAGCCATTGTCGCACCCAGAGTAGTTCTGGGAGATGAATTTACGCAACCACAATCTGAAGGTCCCAGCCCTACAGATAAAAAAACCGTCCCTCGCCCATCCACCCAGCCCACCGCGCTCAAAAACCCAACCCCCAATATGGTACCAGAGGTAGAAAGCCCAACCACCGCACCCGCAAATCCACAATCCAGCGCCCCAGTATTAAGCGAGAACCTCCATCGCCCCCAAGCAACAGCCATTGCGCTCCCAGAAACCCCACCAAATACCGCCCACGCACCAGAGGCCGAACTCCCAACCGCACAATCCGCCGTCGCAGCACCAGTACCAGCACCAGCAGCGAATCCCCTCCCTCTCCCGACCCAACTCCAAGCTGCAGATATCAAACTTGGAGATACACTACCAAATACCACCCACACACCAAAAGATGGAGGAGAAGAAGAAGAACCCGAAAAACTAACCGACAACATCCACCTCGATCTCGACGAAGAATGGGAATGGGCCGAGGAAAGCGAGCGCGTTTTTGGAGAAGTAGCGCTTGCGCCTTCGTTTGGGTGTCAGACAGGGGACGAGTGGATTGTGGTGGGGAGTTGGGAGCAGTAAGGGAGATGGCGTGGGGTGGGGTGGGTGAAGTGGTTGAGAGAGATGGGTGAGAGGGATGGATCTTGGGTGAAGGGAGTTTGTATGGGTGCGGTGGGCTTCGCATGTATTTCTATCATAGTGTGGAATTGACGGACTAGACTACATTGGACTGGACTAGACTTGGCTATCATAAAAAAGGATATGATACGATAGCACATGATCAACTCGAACAAGAAATCACAAGACCATCTATCACGCGAGAACTCTCCAAGTTCATACATCCAGAGTTTAGATTTCGAGGATAGCGATATTACTACTACTGTTGTTCTAATTGTTACTACTATGAGATATCCAATCGTCTAATACTACTCATCACTTACGTACAACGAGGTAGTAACAAAAAGACAATAGAAGCTTTACTTTCATTCAACTTAAATTCAATATACACACATGTATATAATAATCCTCATCGACACACTCACTTAAGTTCAGTAATACACACCAATCGACCAACCACCACTCTCTCTGTATAAATTTGTTAATTCATTCCTCTATAAATTCCTCTATCTTTCCCTCTTTTCATGACATAATATCCCTTTTATTTCAGAATCCAGATATCTCCTCCTCCTCCTACTACTACAACCACTATCTGTATATTTCCACTCATTCACATGCATGTATCGCTAACATAACATAAAATGATATACCATGATTCCAACTACCACATCACATCGCAACACCCTATAACTTACACCTGCCCTCTCCCCTCCTTTCTTTCCATACACTATACCCCCCCGTCTTCCAAATTACAATTCCTTAGTGACCCTAGGTCTATCATCTCTCCTCCCCATTCCCAGTCCCAATCCTGTACTTTGTTCCCCCTCTTTCTCAATTTCCCTCTCCACCATTTCAATACTACTCAAACTCGGGAATCTTTTACTAAAATCCGCAAGATATTCCTCTTTTTCCAAGGACGTCATATCTGATCTCGGTTGAACCCCAGATCCACCTCTATTAGTTAGATATGACTGTTTAGGTGGAGAGTTATTGATACCAAGACCACCTCCCGTATTCATATTATTGAGATGTGTAGGTTTAGGTGGGGCACTTGGTCTTGGTCCTGTTGTAGTAACTGGTAATTGAGGATGTGTTTGCTGCGGACGAGTTTTGTTATAATTGAGATCGGATGAAGGAACTGAAGGTTGAGCTGGTTTGCGAATGGCAGAAGGTTTTCCATATGGATTTCCAGTTGGTAAAGGATTAGGTTGACCTGGTATATCGGTATACCTTCCATAACCTTCTGCTGTTTTCTTTGGAGAAGGTTGTTGACTATTTTCATCCAAGAGACTTTTGACTTTATGTTGAATACTTGCAGCTCGGGTAACACCACCAATACTCTTTGGAGCTGGTGCACCACCACGATCTGCAAGTCGTTTTCGATATTCGGCTGCTGCATCAGAAACACGTTTTTCTTCAATTGATAATCTTCTTCGTTCATTTTCTCTTCTTTGCTCTGGTGTCATATTGTCATCCACCGTTCCATCATCACTTCTATCATCAGTTGCCTCGGATCCAGCGATTGGTGTTAAGTCACGTCGATCCAAATCTTGTAGAGGACTTGGAGTTCTTGGACCAGGTGGAGCACTGGCATTATTTTCAAATCTTTTAAAAGCATCTCCAAACTTACCCGCCAACAAATTTTTAGTTCCAGATAACGAAATGGTAGGCATACTAGAACGTTTTGATTTTGAACCACTACTTCGACGTCTATCTTTCTTGACCTTTTCATGATCTTCCATTGATTTAAGAAAATCAACATTTGATTGAAGATCATCATCAGTTGGATCTGTGACGGCAAACTCTCTAGAATATGATGGACGTCTTTGAGAATCAATCGAGGGACGACCTTCCTTTTCTCTGAGAAAGTCCATGTTGGATTCCAAATATTGACTTGATGGACGTGATCGACTCAAACTAGATTTTGTTCTCGGAATAGTACTTTCGAGGGCTTCATTGCTAGGTCTACTCATTTCAAGTGATGGTCTAGATGATGATGAATGTTTTGAGTAAGTAGATTGTGGATTGTACGAAGAGGTGCGAGGTAAGCCAGGATGAACAGGTAAAAATTCTTGTGCTTCAAGAGTCGGTGTTCTAGACGGAGTTGCGATTTGATTTCTTGGTAAGCTAGTTGATCGATGATGATCTGAAGGAAGAAGACGTGGAGAAGCGGTGAAATTAGGAGGTCGTGTATTTGCAGGTGGAGGAGTTGGTGTTGTCATTGTACCTTGGGATACATATGAGGATTTCACACCCGGGTGAGTAGGTGTGGGTTGATATATTAATGTTGCCGGTACATCTGATGTTTGAAGCTCTAGTGGATTACTGGATAGAATTTGTTGAGCACGAGATGGCTTCTTGGTTGAAGTTGATGACCCCGGTCGATTTGACATGGCGAATGCATCATCAGCTAATCTTTCTGTAACTCGTTTACTAACAGGTTGTGATGCCTTTGTGGGCGAGGAAGATCCAAAATCGAATTTGCCTCCTTCATGGAGTATTGAAAACTGATCCAAGCTTGGAAATCGATTGGAGATTTCATCCACCACTGGAGCAGAAGTTGTAGAATCTAAAGCGGCAAATGGATCACTAACTGTGCCTCTCATTGGAGACGGGCTAGGTTTTGCAGGTTGTGGCTGCGAATTAGCCGTGGGTCTTCCTCTTCGCATTGGTACGACATCAGGTATAACTGTTTGCTGTTGTGTTGGAGGCGCAAAAACTGCTCCCACGACTGGAGGTGATACCGGAGATTCGGTAGTTGGTAATTGCTGATATTGTCGCGATTCTGACTGGGTTCTTCCAGCATATATCTAATATGGTAAGTTTATTTGTAGGTAGAGGATGAAAGGTATAAAAAAACATACATCCTTAATTGGAACCTCGATTCCTTGCATGAGACATGATTCTCTCAAAACTTGGTATATATTGGGACGAGAAGTTGGCTTCTCTTTCAACATGGATGCTGGAATTTGTTAGCACAGTGCCCTCTTGAGTATCAGGGCGGCATTGGATCTACCTATTAAATTCTTAAGGGGATCGGAAAATACTGGATATGAGGGAAATTTAAAACTTGCGTTCAATATAGCAAGTTGTCCCTGAGCCTCGAATGGCGTGGTATAATAACACAGTTTATACAACAGTACCCCTAATGCCCAAATATCCGATTTCTCATCAATTGGTAGTTTCCTGTATACATCTATCATCTCAGGACTTCTATATTGTAATGTTGTATGTTTTTGAACATCGTCTTCGATCAATCTGCATTCGGCAGCGGTCGTAGCAGCAGGTCGAGGTGGTGCAGTGGAACCAAAGTCGCAGAGCTTAAATCTTCGAGAGGGCCCAGTAGAAGTTATGAGAACGTTCTCGACTTTAAGATCTCGATGTAAAAGGGGAGGTTTAAGGTAGTGCATGCATGCTACTCCTTCTGCCACGTCTGAGAATATCTTTAGAATTTCAGGTTCCGTCAACCTATTTTGTAGTCGAGTATTCATGAAATCGATCAAACCACCGCCATTGCAAAATTCCATGAGTAGGAACACTTCGTACCCTCCCCCTTTCAGTTGTGATGCATGTGAATCGTAATATGTAACAATTGGGCGGTGTCCCTTTAACTTCTTCATGGTTTCCACTTCGGTTCTCATGTTTGCCAAATGTTCCTTATCAGGGACCGCGACTCTTTTCAACACGGCAATATCTGTCCCATCGATAGGTTTTGGCATTTTCACCAGGTAGACATGAGCGAACCCCCCTTCTGAGAAGTACTTTTGAATGACGACCTTGTGAGATCCGACTTGGATTTTTGTTCCGGGTGCGAAAGTTCCAGGGGGTGCCGAGGGGTCTGGTATTGGTACAGATCCTCCATAAACCGTAGGTCGAGGGGCCGTCGCTGACGCATTGTAAGATGCCATGATTTATGTGGTAGATGCGTGTAGCAAGATGATGGCAGATGTAGAGCAGCTAATTAGATATGATCACCGCATTGAGTGAAGTATGTTGGCTTGTAAATTGATTCTTATGATTAAAAAGATATGAAAAGAAGCTTTACAAGAGAGTCCAAAGTTGATTGAACGATGGATGAATAGATTTAACGGTCAACGTTCAATGTCTAATCCAAGTTACTTTGATTGCATGGAGTTTTGAGAATGATGGATGGGGCATATCCAGGCTGGCATTTGATGTTATCCATTGATTTGGTTGTGTGTTCACCGCCTTTTAGTTCTGCCCATATATTTTGACCAATTGAAAAGGGAAGAGAACGTGTCTCACGGCAGGTAGATCATCTGGCTTTGGTGGGTGTGAACACAAGAGCACAATACCTTGATCATTATTATCAAGTGATGGTGAATGAGGGAGAAGGGATGAATGGAAGTGAGATATGATTTTGGAGAACATAATCGATAGAAGTCAATTAATCCAGGAGTTCTATATAGGTACCTATGTATACTATGTATACAATGTATATAGATCGATATATGTACTAGGTTGAGATATAAAACATAACCGTCTCAATTATGAATGAGAGATGGATAACCACTTCCCAGTAAGATCTTACTCCGTACATGATCTATAATCTACTCTAGACCTATTCAAGTATCACGGTATGATGATAATATATGTCCATATATATAAACTTACAGAGTATAGTCTGACTCGTCTTTGATTCTTCAGATTGGACTATTAATGCCCGACTCTCCTTAGGATGTGACTCGGTCAGCCTTGTCCCAACTCCAGAAAGCCTCTTTTCTTTTTCATCCCACCTATCCCATCGATGTTGTTACAGATTTCCATCCAGATAGGTAATTGCTCGACCCAACCATACCTAAGCGTTGTAGTACAATGTTTCAATTGTGCCTTGCATACCATCTATAATACCTACTCAGTAAGCCGTAAGCAGTACTCACTCGGCTTTGGAAAGATATTATATGAATGAATCGTGACAACACGATGACTATTAGGTACTGAGGCGATTGGTTGTACCGACATGGAGTTTCCATTGAAACCGGAAGTCCGATGTCTATTTGCAGGATCGGTAATTGATGGCATCCCCATATTGTTTGCCTGAGATGATTAGAATGGTATGGTGCGGCTGATGTGATGTGGATGTGATGTTGATATGATTTTGATGTGATTTTGATGTGATATTGACATGATGTTGATGTAATGTTGATATTGATATAATATTGATATTGATACAATGTTGATGTGATATTGATGTGATATTGATATGATGTTGATGTTAGTGTTGATGTTAATATTAATATTGATGTTGATGTGATTTTATATCAAGTCTCTTCTCTTTGTATTGTTCTAACAATTCATGGATATTTACAACTACCTAGTATTAATTCTTCACGATAGATACGAGTACAAATTTATGTTTACCGACCTAGTATATACCTTTCAATCCATCTGCCTACTGTCAGTCTGTCTATGACTCTATTTGCTAGGTACATTTGATTCACGTCGCGTCGTCTGATATAAGGCTTTAGTCTTGCGGTTGCCGTTATTGTAAGACCGTTGAAAAGTCTATACCAAATTCAAATAGCATCTGTCTTTTTCATTGGATGGCCATGATGCTCTAGAGTCAAGTTACTTTGTGATTCTTACTTGGGCACATGCACTTTTGGATACCTAGCACGATGGTTACGGTATACTGTAATCTGTGTCAAGGCTACTTGCTTGGAATTTCGACCTATGAAATTGTATTAAAATTTAATCTCCGACAGGAAGAAGATGGGCAAGTTGATGAAGAGTTGATTTGAAGTTGTTCGTAAATATTATTGCTTACTATGTAGGTAGGTAGACAGATATATGAGGAGTGACTGGGTATGAACAATTGAGAGACTTTATCATTGTTGTGATAATAACCTGACCTATGTCTATAGATTCCTTCTATCACGATCATTCTTATGGTTGCCATCAACCTAGTAGGTACTCCCTCTTCTTACCTAGGTAGGCATTTTCTTTTGTTGTTTTCTTAACTCTCTCACGCTCTCTAGGAAATTTTCATTCAATTGTTATTACTCATCCATCACTTCATTCATTCATATCAAAACCACACTTCACTTCACTTCCCTTTCTTCTCTCTTCTCTCTTCCCTCTTCTCTCTTCCCTCTTCTCTCTTCTCTCTTCTCTCTTCCCTCTTCCCTCTTCCCTCTTCCCTCTTCCCTCAATTTTATCTCCCTTCTCTTTCCCAGCCATATTCGTGATCTCCATTTTAGTGAAAGGCTTGAAGCAACTGCAACAGGGATAAGTTCAGCGCTAAGCCTTTAAGCGAATTAAGAAAATTATTGGGATTTTCTGAATACTTAAGGACCATAAAGGACGGCGACTCCCCGACCGACCATGTTGCTACCATAAGAAACCACCCAAAAAATCCACTCAAGGGGAAATTTAACCAATCAACGAGTCCAACGAATTTTCTACCAAACCATACCAATCCATACCAATCCATACCAATCCACACCAATCCATACCACCAGTACATACATATATCAATCAACCATATCACCCATACCACCCGTACCATATACACCATACCAATCCATACATATCAACAATCAGAGTCAAATCAGCCATTCAATTCAAAGGGAAAAGAATACAATAATAGCTTTCCCCCGTATTTAAATCTACAATTGAAGAAAAAGAAAAAAAAAAATTATAATCCCGCCTCGCGATCAAGGCTGAAAGGTTCACAATTACTACTACCACCTACCACCTACCACCTACAATCTCTCAATACACGTCGTCGCTATCAACATTAACCTGACTTATATTTCAAGACATCATCAAAACTTCTTGGGATCTCTTTGCAATTACTGGTTTATTAATTTATTGCACTTACGCGTCTAGCAAACTTTTCTTCGATATTGCATATTGCAATTCTCACTCGAAAGTACTACCCAAGCTACACTTTTACTTCTTTCTTTTTTTTGCCACGACGACGACTATACTAAACGATAACGAAGTTGTATGGATTAACGAACTTTCACAAAAACTCATCTTTTGGCATATATGGCGTTTTCCCTTTGAACCTCTTCATACAGATAATGAACCACACGCGTATGGAAAATGGCTTCAAGGTATGTTTCACCTCCACCACCCTCAATATTAAGCTGTGATCAATGCGGCCGCGTTGCATTTGAATGCTGCATTTCGGGAATTAATTATGGCTTTGCTGACATGATGATACGTTGAAATAGATTGGATCGACTTGTCACGTGAGTATCTTCTCTTTGGGTCACTCCATCTTTTCTATGTTTGGTTGAGACAAAGTCAAACCCTTGAAAGTTTTTATTACGCCGTGGAACTTTTACGGGAAACGTATAATTGAAGATCTCTTTTCATATGATATGATCATCAATGATCTTCATTTCGAGAATATTCTGGGACGAGTTTCATTTGAGCCTCATCTCTTTTCCCTACCTCCTACTGACTTTTGATTCAGGCTACTGGAAACAGGAAGCACCCCATTAATTAGGAATACTGCTGCTCAGCAATTGGCTGATGTACAGAAATCACATCCCGAAGAACTTTTCAATTTATTAACAAGAGTTGTACCATATCTTCGTCATAAGACTTGGGATACACGAACAGCTGCTTCGAAAGCATTGGCTGGAATTGTCGAGAATGCAGAAAAGTATGACCCAAATGGTGAGGATGACTTGGCGAAAGATGAATCAAAACCCGAAGAATCTGGAATAAAAAAGGAAGAAGCCGTAGAGCCAACACCACTTGCCGAAGGACAATTGAGTCTTGATACTCTCGACATTGTATCGATTCTCAAATATGGTAAAGAACTTGTTCGTGGTGGAGATAGAGGTCATGATTGGGCTTTAGCTTCTTTGGACCCCGCTCAACGTCTTGCCCATCAAAAGAAGACACTCGATGGACGACTTGGTCTTCTTGGTCCATATTCCGAAGAGGAGCTTGAATATGCAGCTCCAAATACTAACCAGAATGGATCAAGTATCACACTGGCACGTGAGGATTCAAATGGCTTTTCACGACAAGAAAAGAACAGAGGTACATCTACACCTTCGGAAGAAAGTGGACTGAGTGCGAGACAGCTCAATCAACTGAAACGAAAGAGAAAAAGAGAAGCGATGACTGCTGGTAGCAAAAGTAGGCTAGTAGATCTTTCCGTACGACGTACGAATACTTCGAACGATGTAGATACTTCCATGCCGGATGCCGGTGGTGAAGATTCCAAAAATCCTATGGCCGATTATTTCTCAACGGAAAGAAATTCTGAAATAGATGAGGATTCCAAAGTTGTTTCGGAATTCAAGGGACCAATCATGCCAATCAAATCCGAACTTGAGACCGAGGGCGAACAAGAAGGATCGGAGTGGCCTTATGAACGTCTCTGTGAATTTCTTGTGGTCGATTTATTCGATCCTCAATGGGAAACGCGGCATGGTGCTGCAATGGGTTTGAGGGATATCATACGTGTCCATGGAGCCGGTGCTGGAAGGCAATTAGGAAAGACTCGTGCCGAAAACAACTTACTCAATCAATGTTGGCTTGACGACTTAGCTTGTCGGCTGTGCTGCGTTTTTATTTTGGATCGTTTTGGGGACTATGTTTCAGATACAGTTGTTGCACCTATTCGAGAAACAATTGGTCAGACTCTTGGTGCTTTACTCATTCACCTCCCACCTCCAGTCGTTTATTCCGTTCATCACATTTTGTATCGTCTCGTTATGCAAAATGACATTCAACTGGATAAACCAGGCTGGGCTATTTGTCATGGTGGTATGATTGGTCTTCGTTACTTGGTGGCAGTTCGAAACGATTTGTTACTCAAAGATAACGATTTGATCGATGGAGTCATTCGTGCTGTGATGAAAGGTTTAGGTGATTGGGATGATGATGTTCGTTCTGTTAGTGCAGCAACTCTCATTCCAATTGCTAAAGAGTTTGTCAACTTGAGACCTGAAGCACTTGATGGCCTCATCAATATTGTTTGGGAATGTCTTTCAAATCTTGGTGATGATTTGAGTGCTAGCACAGGACAGATCATGGATTTGCTCGCCAAACTTTGCAGTTTCCCTGAAGTATTAGAAGCTATGAAGAAGAATGCATCCCGAGACGCTGAACAATCTTTTGGGCTTTTGGTACCAAGATTGTATCCATTCCTTCGACATACTATCACATCCGTGCGTTCGGCAGTTCTGCGAGCTTTGTTAACATTTGTCGGCATTGAGGGTGAAGGGACCAGGGATTGGATGGATGGGAGAATTCTCCGATTGATCTATCAAAATATTCTGGTTGAGAGAAATCAAGATACGTTGAATTTATCACTTCAAGTATGGAAAGCATTAGTACATTTTCTTGCGAGAGATCCAGAACATTTATCCGCAGAATTTGCACCACACATCGATCCTCTTATGCAACTTACGTTACATCCCATAGGTGTATCTCGACATCCATTACCTATGAACGCCACACTTTTCCAAAGACCATCTGGTAATTCTTACCTACCTAGTGGTCCTACAAGTAACGCTCGTCCTAGTACACCTTCCGGTCCTGAACCTCCAACGAAAAAGCGTCGAAAGGCTACAAAGGTTGTTGAACCTACTCCTACATCATCATCACATGATGTCGATGGTCCCATGATGCAAGGTGATGTGGATCTAGTGGGTATGGACATTTTGATTAGATCTCGTGCATCAGCCGCCAAAGCTATGGGTCTCATTATGTCTCTCGTACCAGCTCCTGCTCTCAATGCATATGATGCTAGTATTACCCCAGGAATGTCTTCGGCTTTCTCTTCTACACAACTGACGGCTTCCATCATTATCGACGAATACGCCAAAAATTGTATCTCAAAGACTCATGCTTTACGTTTTGAACCAGCTCTTACAAAGATTCTCGAAACCGAACGCCCTCTCACGTATAGAGACTTAGTCAGCTACACACATTTGGTTCGAACTCAATGTTCACAACTCCTCAATACCTTTCGCGATGTTGGAAAAGTTTCTCAGGGACGTCTACCTGTACTTGCGGTTGTCGTTGCTGGTGAAGCTGAAGCTGGGCCAGATGCTTTCTCAGTTGTGACTGCTGAAAAATGTGTTTCCGAGGATTTCGATCGATTAAAGAAAATTCTTTCTCCTGGTCAACGTATGATTGCGACCCAAGCTCTTACCGAAGCACGCGAAACTGTAACCGAAGTCATCAATAACGCAAAGAGCATCAAAGAGTTGAGAGATACCCGTATCAAGGCTGCTGCTGCAAGTGCTTTGGTCGCTATGAAGGTTTCACCTAAGAAGCCATCTCATATCATCAAATCTATGATGGATAGTGTCAAGAAAGAGGAAACTTTGGAATTGCAACAACGGTCTGCTTTCTCTATCGCTCGGCTTATCGAAATATTTGCAGAAGGTGGTCGTACTGGACCGGCTCAAAAGGTTGTATCGAATCTGGTTAAATTCATGTGTATGGAAACTTCAGAGACACCAGAATTCGCTCCAAATGCTCCTCTCACAACTGCCATTCTATCATTACGGAAGGAAGAAGATCGTAAAGATCATCCGGATGCAGCAAAATTTGCACGAGAAGCCAAAGAAGCGAGGATAACCAGAAGAGGTGCCAAGGAAGCCTTGGAACAACTTTCTACAATATTTGGTCCCGAATTATTAAACAAGGTCCCTACACTCAAAGCTTTAATGGAACAACCACTACGACATGCATTTGGTGGTACTCTTCCACGAGACTGCATAGACCCCACACAATCCTCTGGACAAGAAGCTATTGATGGTATGTCCGTAATTCGTGCTTTGACACCCACGTTGGATAAATCATTATATCCTTTTATCATGGAATTACTTCCTCTTGTCGTCACAGCTCTTCACTCGGAATTATCAGTTTTCCGTTACATGGCAGCTAAATGTCTTGCAACGGTTTGCAGTGTTATTACTGTCGAAGCCATGACGTTACTTGTGGAGAAAGTTTTACCTTCCATCAGCAACCCACTTGACCTCAACTTCCGTCAAGGTGTCATTGAATCAATTTATCATCTTATTGCTGTTATGGGTGACAGTATATTACCATATGTCATTTTCCTCATTGTTCCTGTTCTTGGACGAATGAGTGATTCAGATACTGATGTACGAGTACTTGCTACAACTTCTTTCGCTACTCTTGTTAAACTTGTTCCACTTGAAGCAGGTATTCCAGATCCTCCTGGTTTATCACAAGAATTATTACAAGGT